CAAACCCACTAAACTAATGCTGGTTGCTTAACCGGGTTTAAAGCCTGTCTACCACACGAGAGGTCGCCTGTTCACCACCGGTCAAGAATACTTTAATACCTAAAATATGGATTAAGGATAAATTATCAGTGTATATACATAGAGATATGCATACCTTTCTGTGTATATGTATATCCTGTGACCTCTAATGTATCATTAAAGAGTCGAGACGGCAAACATCTGCCTATATAATTTCAAATTTCATCTAAGGTTTTGAGTCTATGTGACCATTGACAGAATGATAGTAGAATGATAGAAGAATGATGGAATTATGGTAAAATGATAGAATAATTATAAGAGAAAGATAGAAGAATGATAGAAAAATGATAGAATGATAGAATTATAGTAGGATAATAGTTTAATTATAAAAGAATGATAGTAGAATGATAGAAGATAGCACAATGACAGAAGATTGCAGAATGATAGAAGATAGCAGAATGATAAAAGATAGTAGAATGATATAATTATGGTATAATTCTATCAGAATCAGGTTTCAGAAATTGTTGACCCCCGGAACACCTTCCAGGTGCTCCGGGGGTCAACGCCCCCAGCGGCCCTGACCAGACCAGGTTAAGTTGACATAGTTATTTGCGTTGTGACCATGACTAACTTAGCAACAATTAGAGCGGTAGAAAGCATTCGTTAAGGCAACGTTTCGCTCTCCTTGAGTGAAACGTTACCTCTTGTTCTAATTACCTCGGTGTTATCCATGTTTGTGTCTGTGTAGCTGCCCAGCCGCCACTTGCTGAAGAAAAAGGCGAAATGCAGGCCGTCATTATGACAACGTTTCGCTCTGTGCAAAGTTCTATAAAGCTCTACACAAAGTGTGACTTTGTAAATGGACCAAGTCAGGCCGAAACGTCGTGGTCAGCTCCTCTCTCCCATGTGCGGGTTATTATTACTATTATTATTATTATTATTATTATTATTATTATTATTATTATTATTATTATTATTATTATTATTATTATTATTATTAAGCCCTAAACCTCCTCCAATATAAAGGGGTGAGATCAGTTGGCAGCCTCCGGCATCCATCTCGCCAAATTCGAAGCCCCTGAGAGCAAACTCTAAAGGAGAAATCTCTCTACCCAGGGAGGTGCTGGAGGCGTCTGGCCAGCTGGGGCATGTAGTGCCCTTCATGAGGTCTGGAGGCCTGGGGTCCTCGAAGTACCAGGTGCTGGCGTGGGCAGGAGACCAGAATGTGGATTGGTCTCTGGGTGATGGAGTAGCTTCGACTGTCATAGCTGGTAAGTACCGAGGGAGAGGAAGTGGAGGTGTTTACCTGGAGTTTACCTGGAGAGAGTTTCGGGGGTCAACGCCCCCGCGGCCCGGTCTGTGACCAGGCCTCTGGATGCTGTACTACGTCTGAAGGAGGGGAGATAATGGGGGAAGGTTGATTCCAGGAAGGGGAAAGCAACTTCAGTTTTATGGATCAAGAATTCACAATAACTCTTCGGTAACTGTTATTAAGGCTTTTGTTAGAAAATGTAAAGTGCATTTGTTGACGCCTTTCCTGTGCCTTTGTTAATATTAATATTATTGTTATTCTTATTGCTGTTATTTCGTAATTATATTCATTATAACTACTTAAAATTATGTGATGTTACATCAGAAAGCCATGATCAGTTATGGTTCATTCTCCCTGGTGAACCATCACTGTACCTCTCTCCTGTACCACTGAACCATCACTGTACCTCTCTCCTGTACCACTGAACCATCACTGTACCTCTCTCCTGTACCACTGAACCATCACTGTACCTCTCTCCTGTACCACTGAACCATCATTGTACCTCTCTCCTGTATCACTGAACCATCACTGTACCTCTCTCCTGTACCACTGAACCATCATTGTACCTCTCTCCTGTATCACTGAACCATCATTGTACCTCTCTCCTGTATCACTGAACCATCACTGTACCTCTCTCCTGTACCACTGAACCATCACTGTACCTCTCTCCTGTACCACTGAACCATCACTGTACCTCTCTCCTGTATCACTGAACCATCATTGTACCTCTCTCCTGTACCACTGAACTATCACTGTACCTCTCTCCTGTATCACTGAACTATCACTGTACCTCTCTCCTGTACCACTGAACCATCACTGTACCTCTTTCCTGTATCACTGAACCATCATTGTACCTCTCTCCTGTATCACTGAACCATCACTGTACCTCTCTCCTGTATCACTGAACCATCACTGTACCTCTCTCCTGTATCACTGAACCATCACTGTACCTCTCTCCTGTACCACTGAACCATCACTGTACCTCTTTCCTGTATAACTGAACCATCATTGTACCTCTCTCCTGTACCACTGAACCATCACTGTACCTCTCTCCTGTACCACTGAACCATCACTGTACCTCTCTCCTGTAGCACTGAACCATCACTGTACCTCTCTCCTGTAGCACTGAACCATCACTGTACCTCTTTCCTGTATCACTGAACCATCATTGTACCTCTCTCCTGTACCACTGAACCATCACTGTACCTCTCTCCTGTACCACTGAACCATCACTGTACCTCTCTCCTGTACCACTGAACCATCACTGTACCTCTCTCCTGTAGCACTGAACCATCACTGTACCTCTCTCCTGTACCACTGAATTATCACTGTACCTCTCTCCTGTATTACTGAACCATCACTGTACCTCTCACCTGTATCACTGAACCATCACTGTACCTCTCTCCTGTATCACTGAACTATCACTATACCTCTCTCCTGTACCACTGAACTATCACTGTACCTCTCTCCTGTACCACTGAACTATCACTGTGCCTCTCTCCTGTACCACTGAACTATCACTGTACCTTTCTCTTGTACCACTGAACCATTACTGTACATATCTCCTGTACCACTGAACCATTACTGTACCTCTCTCTCCTGTACCACTGAACCATTACTGTACCTCTCTCTCCTGTACCACTGAACCATTACTGTACCTCTCTCTCCTGTACCACTGAACCATTACTGTACCTCTCTCTCCTGTACCACTGAACCATTACAGTACCTCTCTCTCCTGTACCACTGAACCATTACTGTACCTCTCTCTCCTGTACCACTGAACCATTACTGTACCTCTCTCCTGTACCACTGAACCATTACTATACCTCTCTCCTGTATCACTGAACCATCACTGTACCTCTCTCTCCTGCACCACTGAACCATCACTGTACCTCTCTCCTGTATCACCGAACCATCACTGTACCTCCCTCCTGTATCACTGAACCATCACTGTACCTCCCTCCTGTATCACTGAACCATCATTGTACCTCTCTCTCTGTAGCGTTGAACCTGGGTATGAGCGGGATGGGCATCACCCACTTCGACATAGGCGGATACACAACAATGCCTCCACTGATGGTGAGAAGCAAGGAACTCTTCCTCAGGTCTGCTGAGTACGCTGTCTTCACTCCTGTCATGAGGACACATGAGGGTGAGTAGAACCCTCTAAATACTCCATTTAGGACTCACTAGGGTTAGTACACGTCCCTGAGAGAAGTACTCTAGTTAGGACTCATTAGGGTTAGTACCTGTCCCTTAGAGAAGTAATCCAGTTAGGACTCAGTAGGGTTAGCACACGTCCCTGAGGGAAGTACTCGAGGCAGGAGTACCCAAAAAGTTGAGTACATGCCCCGGAGAGAAAGTAATTAACTCATTAGTACTCATCAATAAGGCCTAAATAAATGGCATAGGCCTATGAATATTTAGGCAGCGCCAGAAAAAAATATTTAGCACTTTTAATTGAAATAAACACATATAGCGCCAGAAATAAATTCTCTACGTCAGCAAAATTCTGAAACAAGCATTAAAAATAACTCTCTGATGAATAAACAGAAGAATGGACGAGGACTCGAACCGTGAGCCTGGCAATACCAAGCCCAACACAGTGCCACTGAGCCAAAAAATAGTTCATTACGACATAAATTTATGCATATCTATTTCAACTTGACTGGAAAATGGCACATTTATCTGAAGCACTGAAGATGGTCGAAAGAATAACAGAAATGTGAATATTAGAAGAAGAGCACAAGATACATTCACTGTCCAGCTTATTCTATCAGTTATTGTCTAACTCACACTGACAGTCAATCTAAAGGTCAAAAACGCCACCTTTGGACTGGCAGGAACTGCGTTACGTCAGGCCGATGGGGCAGCCTCTTCACCCTCCCCATGTCTTCCAAACAAAGACGTACTATTGGTAATTTTTACCTGTATACACAATATCAAGGCGCGTCTCTGCTGACTTTCAAATGGGAAGGAAAAACTACATAAAAATCAATGGTGGATGTAAACATGCTAACTACCACCACGTATAAATAACCAGCACAAGAGAGAGAGAATATCTTGTGACGGTGTTTAGGTCCGTCTCGGAGCATTTACAAGTCATGTAAATCTCTACTCTATGTATGGATTATTTGTGTATTATTTTGGTTTTGAAAATAATAATAATAATAATAATAATAATAATAATAATAATAATAATAATAATAATAATAATAATAATAATATTATTATTATTATTATTATTATTATTATTATTATTATTATCATTATTATTATTATTATTATTATTATTATTATTATTATTATTATTATTATTATTATTATTATAATTATATTACACATACAAGCTAGCTATCAGGAGTCCAAAAAATGTGCAATCTTTAAAATTTTAATGTTATCTATAGTCTAGGTACCTATTTACGCTATGGGAATGCGTCGTTAGGTACCCAGGACTTGAGAGGTGGTCACACGCTCCTGGTGACCAGCATTTGTAGGTATTTGTCGTAAATAAATAGTTCTGAGAATACACAAGTTGACAGATGTTTTTTATTTCCAACTGTGAGTGCTCGATGTTAGTTGTGGTTGGGTTGTTAGGTTTCAAGCCTGTCGACTGCACGATGATCACTAAGGCTGTATTTTTGCTTCTGCGCCACCGATCAAAATTGCTTTAATTCTGCTTATACTCTGTGAGATATACACCTTTTATCCTGCTTATACTCTGAGGGATATACCCCTTTTATCCTGCTTATACTCTGAGAGATATACCCCTTTTATCCTGCTTATACTCTGAGAGATATACCCCTTTTATCCTGCTTATACTCTGAGAGATATACCCCTTTTATCCTGCTTATACTCTGAGAGATATACCCCTTTTATCCTGCTTATACTCTGAGAGATATACCCCTTTTATCCTGCTTGTACTCTGTGAGATATACCCCTTTTATCCTGCTTATTACTCGAGAGATATACCCTTTTATCCTGCTTATACTCTGAGAGATATACCCCTTTTATCCTGCTTATACTCTGAGAGATATACCCCTTTTATCCTGCTTATACTCTGAGAGATATACACCTTTATCCTGCTTATACTCTGAGAGATATACCCCTTTTATCCGCTTATACTCTGAGAGATATACCCCTTTTATCCTGCTTATACTCTGAGAGATATACCCCTTTTATCCTGCTTATACTCTGTGAGATATACCCCTTTTATCCTGCTTATACTCTGAGAGATATACCCCTTTTATCCTGCTTATACTCTGAGAGATATACCCCTTTTATCCTGCTTATACTCTGAGAGATATACCCCTTTTATCCTGCTTATACTCTGATAGATATACCTCTTTTATCCTGCTTATACTCTGAGAGATATACCCCTTTTATCCTGCTTATACTCTGAGAGATATACCCCTTTTATCCTGCTTATACTCTGAGAGATATACCCCTTTTATCCTGCTTATACTCTGAGAGATATACCCCTTTTATCCTGCTTATACTCTGTGAGATATACCCTTTTATCCTGCTTATACTCTGAGAGATATACCCCTTTTATCCTGCTTATACTCTGAGAGATATACCCCTTTTATCCTGCTTATACTCTGAGAGATATACCCCTTTTATCCTGCTTATACTCTGAGAGATATACCCCTTTTATCCTGCTTATACTCTGATAGATATACCCCTTTTATCCTGCTTATACTCTGAGAGATATACCCCTTTTATCCTGCTTATACTCTGCTTATACTCTGAGAGATATACACCTCTCAGTGAAGATACGCTTTTAGGCAGACATGTACAGGGATATACTTAATGTATATACATCTAAAGATGTATATCTCGGCGTATATATATTGTTTATGTACAGGTGACAATGCAGTCTTAATGACCCTCGTCCGGTCGACAGGATTTAAACCTAGCTAACTAACTATATAGCCTGTGTGAACATTAAACCTCTTTCTCCATTTCCAGGAAACAAACCAGAGGCCAACCACCAGTACTACTCTGACGAGGACACACTCTTCCAATTCGCTCGTCTTACGCAGATACACTCTAGACTGCTTCCTTATACCAGGTCTCTGATACAGGAACTCTCTACCGCAGGTAAGAAAATCTGGGCCATTTCTATGACCACAATCGTCAATAAATTCTTTGGAGTCATGTTGTTTTAACTTCTTGTTTAGGCGAATGGATGTGGGTTCTAATTGACCTCTTCTTGACCTCTCTGGGTCTTAGGTACGCCGGTACAGCGGCCCCTGTTTCTGGATTTGAGGAGGATGCCGGTTCGTGGGACATTATGTACCAGTATCTGTATGGTCCTGACCTGCTTGTGGCCCCCGTCATACATAAGGGCCAGGTGAGTTATGCCTCTCCTACGAAAAGCACGATAACCTAATGGGTATAGAGATGTGAGAGAGATGTCTAGAGATGAGACGGCTGGGGCAGAACTTGCAGAACAAACTTTAATCGGAAGAAAGAACGTTTCGCTCAGTGTAGAGTTTTTATCAAGTCATGCAGAGGTTGCAGATTTGATGAAGCTCTTCACAGAGGAGAAAAGTAGTCAAAATAAAATCATATTTTGTAACTCGTGTGTAAATAGAGAAGATAAATGACTATCAACAACTTGAAGGACCTGGCCAGAAAGGCATTCACACCTTTATCGTAAAGGTTCCTGTCCTTGGACCTTGATGATGGCTTCAAATGCATGACGTGATTTGATCAAGGTCCAAGTGAATGCCTTCGTGTCCCAAATGAATGCATTCGTGTCCCAACTGAATGCATTCGTGTCTCTGCCCTCAGATTTGTCAAGAATACTACATTTAATGTATTTAAGAAAGGTTTCCTGGATGACCTCGTAATTAACAAACAGAGCCCAGGACATGGAGGGCTACGGTGTATCCTAGGAAGGAGAGAATAGGTTCCAGATCCTAGGGGCAATGTAGCTAAGCAAATTATTTGCTAGCCCTTGTATCATGGGAATAACTTGTGAGATGGTGACCGGCTAACTCTGGCTCCTTCTAAAGGAGACGCAAATGGTGTATGTAACTGGTCTGTTAACGCTCTCCAATTTCTTCTGCAGGAGACGCAGACGGTGTACTTACCTGGAGGAGGGTCTGGTTTGGGTGTACTTCTGGGAAGTGACGGAAGAGGCGGTGGTTAGGACCTGTCACTGTCACAGTCCCCGTCCCATGGGCTACCCTGCTGTCTACTACAGGAAGGACTCTCCCTGGCAGCCACTCTTTCAGGAAATCGCACAAGAGTTCGGCCTGGCTACAGAGGGGACATCGGTGCTCAAATCCACAGCTGTTCCTGTATTTTAAGGGATTGTTTATGGAGAGAGAACTGGAAACCCTATCAAGAATACAAATGCACAATACCGTGACTGGAACAATTCCGTGAATGGTACAATACCGTGACTGGAACAATACACAAACAACCCGCACATGTGCTGGTTGTTTGTGTATTGTAAACCCTATGTTTATAGAAATAAATTCGTGTAGGGTTTATTGATTTCAAGGACTGATGGTGGTAACCAAGGCCAGATTATTTTTTTTCGTTTTGACCATTAAAGAGATCAGCAGACTTCTTTAAGACCACTACTCAAGGTTTGAAGTGTCTCCCTTCATCACACTAAAGGGAGAGTCTTCGTGAAGGAAGTTAACGGAACCAGGGCTCATGTGACGCTGGAAATCTGACCAATACCTACACAAATACATAACGTTTCTCACTGTAACTGTGGTTTTAAGTTTGGTCTCCATCAATCCTTGACTGAAGGTCGGACACCCCACACACACACACAACACCAACACACAACACACACAACACCACCAACACACACAACAACACACACACAAACACACCAAACACACACAACACAAGGGTACAAGGTCTCAAAATAAATTTCTTTATTCTGCCTCAATCAACTTTTTTTGCGACAAGAGAACCAGGCCACATCATCTATATTTTTCTTTTGCCTTGCAACCAATTGTTTTAACATTTTTACAAAATAAAGCCACAGGACGCCTGGATATACACACTAAAGAAATGTATTTCTCTCAGGTAATATTTTTTGAGAGATTATTTTAAAACCCTTTATTTAAGGCATTAAAGTATCTTGTCGGTGATGGAAAAGGTCACCTTGCAACCTTAATGCCCCTCCGTGTAATAAAAAAACTTTAAAAAACCCCATTAACCACGGATAGACAGGGCAACTTAAGACTTCTCTCTCTTCTTTCCCTCTCCCCCTTTTCCCAACCTACTTCTCAACCAACTCTCATTCATCACACTACTCCTAAACCAATTCCCCATACTAATTTAACCCTACTAACTCCATCAACAAACTCTTTTCCATCACAACCACCCTCCACACCTAACTCTCTCATCACACTACTCTTCTAAAACCCACCCGCTTCTCCCCAAATACACTCTTTTCTTCATCCACTACTCTCTCCATCACACTACTCCCCAATCACACTACTCTCTCCATCACACTACTCCTCCTCACACAACCTCTCCTAAAAACCCCAAAACTACTCTCTCCATCACACTACTCTCTCATCACACTATTTCCTCCATCACACTATCTCTCCATCACACTACTTTTCCACCACACTACGTCTCCATCACACTACTCCTCCATCATCTACTGTCTCCAATCACCTCTCTCTAAACCCACACTACTCTCTCCATACAAACTACTCTCTCCACAAAACTACTCTCCCCCCAAACACATATCTCTCCATCACACTACTCTCTCATCACACTACTGTCTCCATCACATACTGTCCCCAAATACATACTCTCTCATCACATATCTCTTCCATCACACTACTCTCTCAACCACATACTGTCTCCCACACTACTGTTTTCCTTCACACTACTGTCTCCAATCACACTACTGTCTCCATACAACTACTGTCTCATCACAACTACTGTCTCATCAACTACTGCTCCATCAACTAAACTGTCTCCATCACACTACTGTCTATCACACTATTCCCCATCACACTACTCTTCCATCACATTCTCTCTCCATCACAAACTCTCTCCATCAAAATTACTCTCTCCATCACACTACTCTCTCCATCACATACTCTCTCCATCACAATTACTCTCTAAATCACATACTCTCTCCATCACATGGGAGTCAAGGGAAATGTACATAATTGGAGAGTTAAGTTACCTCCTGGTTCAGTCATTTACTGGGAGTAACAAAGAAAAGTGGTGATAATGCTGAGCACTGTGGTCCCAGCAGTTGTAGCAGCACAGCATGTGGGTCCAGCAGTTTTACGGGGCACCAGCATTTTGGGTCCAGCATGTAGCAGGCACAGCACTGGGGGGTCCAGCATGTAAAAAAGACCAGCATGTGGGTCCCAGCATTTGAGCAGGCACCAGCATGTGGGTCCCAGCAGTGTACAGGCACCAGCACTGTGGGTCCCAGCAGTGTAGCAGGCACCAGCACTGTGGGTCACACATGTAGCAGGCCAAGCACTGTGGGTCCCCAGCGGTGTAGCAGGCACCAGCACTGTGGGTCCCAGCGGGGAAAGCAGGCACCAGCACTTGGGTCCAGCAGTGTAGCAGGCACCAGCCGGGTGGGTCCCAGCGTTTTAGCAGCACCAGCACGTGTGGGCCCCAGCAGTGTAGCAGGCACCAGCACTGTGGGTCCCGCAGTGTAGCAGGCACCAGCACTGGGGGGCCCAGCTGTGTAGCAGGCACCAGCACTGTGGGTCCCAGCGTGTGCAGGCACCAGCACTGTGTGTGGTCCCAAGCAGTTGTGCAGGAAACCAGCACGTGGGGTCCCAGCAGTGTAGCAGCACCAGCACTGTGGGTCCCAGCAGTGTAGCAGGCACCAGCACTGTGGGTCCCAGCAGTGTAGCAGGCACCAGCACTGCTGGGAACCACAACAACTGATGATCACTGCTGTAAGCAACGTGGGTCCCCAGCAGTGAAATGATCTGCCAGAATGCCTTCCCACGCCTCCATTACACTTCCTGAAGGGTCTCTGATGGGCAAAAAATGATAAAGCGTCACACAGTAATCTTCACTCGAACTTCTATATTGAGAGTGATAAAAATTCGATTAAAGAATTGATTTTATATCCTGACACATATATATATATATATATATATATATATATATATAATATATATATATTATATATATATATATATAAAATATATATATATATATTATAATATATATTATATGTGTTGTGTGGTGTGTGTGTGTGTGTATAAAAGTAACTCTTCCGTAAGATTTTGTCTTCAATTATTCCAGTCGAAGACATTTGGAAGAAAACTGAGTAAATTAACACTCTGAGAGTGAGGACAAGAAAAGGAAATATTCCCTTCTTCAATAATATGTAAAAATTTTATGCCATTTTCAAAAATTACATCAAGTTCCTCTCTGTAAAAGAGCGTGTCCGCCCCTTCTAGCGACCCCTTTTGAATTTGCCTGTCCCCGTCTTTTTTGTGTGAAGCGTCCCCCCATGGCGGGCGGGGAGACGACGCTAAGAGGATCAACACAAATCCCGAGCAAAAACCCATTGGATCCTAAATTTAGGAGCGCGCCTAGGTGATTAAATTCTAATTACGAAAATGGCGCCGATTCGCAAGTGTTAATAGAATGGTAATGAAGTGAGAGATTGAGGAGTTTATGAGCAAACATGGCGTGCTGGAGGAGATACTAGAACACCCATTGTTGAGACTTAATGCTCTTTTTCAAATTGTCTATTTTTTTGTTACTCTCTCGGCTTTTATTTTCTGGTCTGTCTGGCTTCTCGCCTCCACTGACTTGTTTGTTTTCTTAATGGTTCCGCGTTAGCCTGTCTTTCCCACTTATGACTTTTTCGACACAAGCGAATTAGGAAGCCAGGATCTGATCTTTTTAGAAGATAAAATACCTAATGTATTGAAGGAATTTCATATATATATAATATATTATTATATATATAATATATTATATATATATATATAATATATAATATATATATATATATATATATACTGTATAGTGAAATTTTTAAGTGCTTTAGTGATTTCTCACATTATGAAATTCCTTGATAATGTGAGAAATAATGAAAGCGCTTGGAATTTCACTGTTTTCACAATGGTTATTTTATTGTAATATCACCATGTTTACTGTGATTACATTGCATATATATGTGGTGTCAGTGTTACACAGCATCTCACATGTAACCAGCAAGTCGTCACCAGGAACTGAAGCTGTGTACGTGGACACTCAGCTGGGATCATCATCAACGTGTACATGGAAGGTACGAAATATTATATACAGGAGCGGCAAGCCAGCTGAAAAAGACGAGAAGCACTTCACTAGGCCTACTGTGCCATGATGGTAGTCATGACATATTACTATGTTATTCTTGGTCTGGTGCGTCACTGTTTTCTTTCACAGGAAATTGGTCTATAGGACTTCGGTCTTTGTCAATTCCAGAACCTGAAATTTCTTTCGGTGCTGATTAATGCTAATTCACAGATTTTTTTTTACCCGTCTCGTAATGGCGGGCGATTTCGTGTATAACTGAAGCTTCCTTCTTCATTCTAATGGTGGTAAAGAGGAAGAGTTTTCTCTAAATCTAATAGCAAGTTTGTTGCACTAACCCTGTTATCCACTGCGAGGCCTTTTCACAGACCCGGGCCGCGGGGGCGTTGACCCTCGAGAACCGCTCTAGGTATATTCCAATCCATACCATGAGGCGGGGATAGAACCCGCGATCAGAGAGTCGCAATTATGTGTTGCAGCGTCATACTGTCTGTTCCGTGTACACTGAGTCACACACACACACATAGCTCCGAGTCATAGCTCCGGGGCCAGGAGCTATGAATCGACCCCTGCAACCACAAATAGGTGAGTACACACAAAAATCTTGTGTTGCTCAGGGGAGGATATCGCCAAGTTTCTTTGGATAACTCTAGGTAAACTCCAGGTAAGCTCCAGGTAAACTCCAGGTAAACTCCAGGTAAACTCCAGGTAAACTCCAGGTAAACTCCAGGTAAACTCCAGGTAAACTCCAGGTAAACTAATGATATCGTCATACCATGATTCCTAGCAAGCCACGGAACGGGCGAGGCCTTGAACCCATGGCGAGTATATTTCTATGGCGTATAGAAATATACCCAGTTAGATGAATCTTATTAGAGCCAGCTGGCCCAGTGGTTAACGCACTGGCCTAGAGTTTTACGACTCACTCGCCGTGAGTCTAAATCCCGCCCCGTTCCCTGGTTTATATGGATAAATCGAGGCTGCATCACAGATTTAAGTCACCCTCCGGGAAAATAATTTACACAGAGATAATTAGAATTTCTATAAAATGAAGTTAATACAAGACAAATACTGAGATGAAAATGGTGGTTGTGTTTCACGAATAGAAAGAAGAGGAGGAATAAGGAGAAGAATAAAGGGGCGTGGAGACGTGTATATTATAAA